GAGCTCTGACAAATTTTTTTGTATCAGGGGTTTCTCAACAAAAAACAAAATTATTTAAAGTAAAGATTGCTTGAATAGCGTACATAATATACCAAGTAATTGGAACTCATATTTAATTTCGGATATATTTCATCTTCAAAAATTGGATATTAATGCATTGGATACATTGATAAAAATAAAACAAAATATTATTAACATTATTTAACATACATATTAAATATATATTTCAAGGTTCTCCTTCCCAAAATAAATGAAAAATATTAAAATATTCAATATTGAATTAACTCATAGAATATATAATTTAATATAACTATTTTAAATATATATCTGTTAAAATTTCATTATATAACTCTTTTTTAAAAGATATAAAACGATATTGAATTATAAATAAATCAAATAAAAAAAAAAAAAAAAACAAGACATTCAAAAATTTTATAACAATTGAATGTCATGTTTTTTTTAATATTTTGTCTTCATATATTTTCATATTATTCATTTTTATGACTCGTTATTTCTCAATCGATGATTTATTAAATTATCTAAATGTCAAAATTAATAATATTTTTCTTAGAGTTGTTCAAGAAAACCAATTACTTTTCATTTCAACATTTAATGAAGATGATATCATTTTCATTAAACAAAACATCCATAAATCAGAAGTAATTATAATTGACCAAATTGAGACAGAAGTTGACAAAACAATTAAAGAATATTTAATATTAGGATTTGAAAAAACATTAATTATTCATGAGTATTCTTCAACAACTGAATATTTCCTTCAAAAAATTTTATCTTTAAATCCTAATATATTAGTATTATTTTTATCAGATATTGAAATGAAAATTCAGAAAACTCAGAAAATGAATTATATTGAAGTAGATGGAAAATTTAAAGAAGAAGTTATGGATAGGAATCCATTTTTACAATTTTCTAAAATAAAAAAACAAAGAAAGAAATATTGCGATCGATTTTTCTTTGTTCATTAGGTAATGTAGTCAAAAAAAGTTATTTAAAACAAATTAAAAAGAAATGTATTGAAGAATTCATTCTCAATATCGAAAAAACAGAACCAGCGTTAGAAATCATAAATGAAGATGAATACATTGAATTAAGATGTCTTGGAATTGGCTCAACATTTGAATGCATTTTAATTTATAACTTTAAAAAAGATGAATTAGAAGTGATCAAAAAGCCTCGTACAAATAGCCCTGATAATTTAAGATTAATTGAACGTGAAGGAATTAACTATCGAAAAATCAGACATCCGTTTATACCTAAATATATTGGAAGAATAAACAATACAAATCATATTGTTATTGAATATATAGATGGGAAGTCATTGCGGAATATCGATGAAATTAATCTTACATTTGATAATAAACTTATAATTATATTTGAACTGATGTTAGCACTCAAGCATTTACATGACAAAGGGCTGATCTACAGAGATATTAAACCAGACAATATCATTATACGAGAAAATAAAACAGTTTCTTTAATTGATTTTGATCGATTAATAGAAGAAGATAGCACATTTCAAACGTTAGATATAGGAGGAGATCATTATTTGGCCCCAGAATTAGAATATACAAATAAATATACATATGAGAGTGACATTTATGCGCTTGGTAAAGTTATTGATTATATAATGAGCGATTCTAAATCAGATGCAATTAATGAGATCATTGAAAAATGCACACGAAATATAAATGAACGATTCCATTCAATATCAGAAATTTTGGAAGTATTTTGTAACAAATTTCAAGATGAAATCCTTCTTGAAGGTTCATGTATGAAATTTCAAAAACATTTGCTTTTTTTAGAAAAAATAATCAAAACATCTATTGGCTTTCATCAGAATAAAAGCTGTCCACAAGCACAAAATGATCTTGGTTTTATTTTTTATCATGGTCATTATGTTCCAAGTAGAGTTAGCAAGGCTGTACATTATCTAACACTCGCTGCAAATCAAAATCACCCAATCGCACAATGCAAACTTGGCGTTATTTATGATGAAGGTGAATATGAAAAACGTGATGTTAACAAAGCAATTTATTATCTTACACTCGCTGCAAATCAAAATATCTTAGAAGCCCAGTTCCTTCTGGGTTTCATTTATTATAATGAAAAAAATGTTACTCAAGATATCAAAAAAGCAATTCATTATCTTTCACTCGCGGCAAATCAAAATTTTTCACTCGCTCAATACAACCTTGGAGCTATTTATCTTGAGAATAAATATATTGCTCGTGATATTAAACAGGCAATTTATTATTTAACACTCGCAGCAAACCAAAATCATTCAGAAGCGCAATCAATCCTTGGAAAAATTTATCATGAAGGTATATATGTAACACGTGATATTAATAAAGCAATTCATTATTTTACGCTCGCAGCAAATCAAAATCATTCAGAAGCACAATTCAAACTCGGTACAATTTATTATGAAGGGAATAATGTTGCACGCGATGTTAACAAAGCAATTAATTATTTCACACTGGCTGCAAATCAAAATTGTTCAGATGCACAATGCGCCATAGGTTTCATTAATCTTGAAGGTAAATATGTTACACCAGATGTTAGCAAAGCAATTCATTATTTTACACTCGCAGCAAAACAAAATCATCCAGTAGCGCAATATGAACTTGGCACCATTAATATTGAAGGAAAATATTGTGCATGCAAGGCTAACAAAGCTATTCATTATCTCACACTCGCTGCAAATCAAAATCATTCAGAAGCCCAATACAAGCTCGGGTTTATTTATGATGAAGGGAAATATGAAAAACGTGATGTTAACAAAGCAATTTATTATCTTACACTCGCTGCAAATCAAAATCATTCAAAAGCCCAGTTCCTTCTGGGTCTCATTTATTATAATGAAAAAAATGTTACTCAAGATATTAAAAAAGCAATTCATTATCTTTCACTCGCGGCAAATCAAAATTTTTCACTCGCTCAATACAACCTTGGAGCTATTTATCTTGAGAATAAATATATTGCTCGTGATATTAAACAGGCAATTTATTATTTAACACTCGCAGCAAACCAAAATTTGCAAGAAGCACAATCAATCCTTGGAAAAATTTATCATGAAGGTATATATGTAACACGTGATATTAATAAAGCAATTCATTATTTTACGCTCGCAGCAAATCAAAATCATTCAGAAGCACAATTCAAACTGGGTTTAATTTATTTTTACAATAGGTATTATGCTAATAATGGCAACAAAGCAATTCATTATTTAACACTTGCAGCAAATCAAAATCATTCAGAAGCACAATGTATCCTTAGTATACTTTATGTTGAAGGTATTTATGTAAAACGTGATGTTGATAAAGCAATTCAATATTTGACACTCGCTGCGAATCAAAATCATTCAGAAGCACAATGCACTCTCGGAATACTATACATTGATAGCAAATTTGTTAAAAGTGATGTTAATAAAGCAATTCATTATTTGACTCTCGCTGCTAATCAAAATCTATCAGAAGCACAATGCAAACTTGGTATCATTTATTATGAAGGTATACATATAGTACGTGATGTTAATCTAGCAATTCATTATCTTTCACTTGCTGCAAATCAAAATCATCCAGAAGCCCAATACAAACTTGGTATCATTTATTATGAGGATAAATATTTAGTACGTGATGTTAACCAAGCAATTCATTTTCTTTCACTTGCTGCAAATCAAAATCATCCAAAAGCCCAATATAAACTAGGTTTAATCTATTATGAAGGCAAATATGTTAATATTAACAAAGCTATTCATTATTTTACGCTCTCGGCAAACAACAACAATGCAAAGGCCCTAATGTATCTTTTCATAATTTATACAGAAGGAAAACACATTTCTCGTAATGTTAATAAAGCAAATCATTATCTTGAACTCGCTGCAAATCAAAACTTTTCAGAAGCACAACTATGTCTCGGATTTAAATATTATTATGGTTTTGGTATTTCACGCGATATTAAAAAAGGAGTGTATTATATAATTCTTGCATCAACAAATGAGAATAGAATGGCAAATTATTGCCATGCTTTTTTGCTCCACAAAGGCAAATATGTCAAGAGAAACATTGAAGAGGCAGTTCATTATTATAAAATGGCATCATCATTCAGGATACAATTTGCAAAAAACAATCTGGGTATAATATACAGATATGGTAATGAGAATATTAAAAAGAATACAGGCTATGCAATTGAACTTTTTAAAGAAGCAATATATCAAAAAAACGATTTTTTGGCAATGTACAATTTGGCGCATTTATATTTGTTTGATTCAGAAATCAAAGAAGATATCAACAAATCAATTGATTTATTGGCAAAATCATCTCATAAATTCGAATTTTCAATACATCTATTAATATTGGCTCTAATAAAGAAAAATGGACTAAACAAAGAAGTTATTAAAAATGAAGCAAGAAATCTTATTAAAATTCCAGATAAAGTAAATTGTTACATAGATCAAATTGTAAGTTTCTTAAAATATGAAACAACTTATAAAAAAGTATATGAATTGTATAAGAAAAAAGTTTTTTTATACAATATTAGATTACTACCAGTTTTGTTATCAGATCTTCAAAAAAAAGTAGAAATAAAACCAAAATACAAAAATATGAAAAATATTTCATCGATCTTTTACGAAGGTTTTGGAGAAGATATCTAAAATTCTACCAAATTTCTTTTCAAAATGTTTTTAAAAGTGAATTTCACATCAATTAAAATAAATGGCTACTCATTTTAAGTGTTCTTTACGAAAAAAATGCATGAAATGAATTTGGTCACTTAACCAAAACAACAATTATAAAAATTCCAATATTTTTAATACTACATCTTTTTTTTTTTTTTTTTTTTTTTTTTTTTGTGGTGTTATATAATAAGTATTCTTCTATTGAAGTTACAGAAAAAGGAATAATGATATGCTTTAATAATGAACATTCACAGAAAGCGGTAATGCAATATATAATTATAAGGAGAAAAAATCAAAAAAATTCCGACACGGGGAATTGAACCCCGAGCTCTTGGGTGAGAACCAAGTATTTTAACCATTAGACTATGTCGGATTACAATAATGAACTATATATATTAAATTATATTAAAATAAAATATTTTTTTGTTTTCATTATAGATATAGAATAAACTAGCAATATTTTGGAAATCTTCTTTATTTTTGTTATTTATTTAACCAATTCTTTTAAAAAAAAGGCCTGGCAAATGTCCAAGAATTTAAGTCCTATGTGTCTCAGCTCATTTACTTTTTGAATGAGCATAATTGAATTTTAACTTTTTGAATGAACTTTATCAAAAAGTTTTATTATTATTTTTATTATTCGAACAATAAAGAAACATATTTAAATATGAACTTTTTGATGGATAAAACACAATCTTAAAATATTTTTCTGAAGTACGATACAAGGCTAATATTAACCTTAACTTTTCTGGGTTAAAAATATTTAATATATTTGATAACTTGTCAATGCGACCACAAAATTTTATCAATTTCTATAAAAATATTTTTGATACCCCAAAACATATGACTTACAATGACTTTGAACAATTGATTCATGAATCAAATCAAATATCTACATTTTTTTATATCACTGCGCAAGATAAACAAAAAGAGAGAATACGACTCAATTTCCGGTATTTTCAACCCAAACTAGAACAAGATCAGGCTCGTATCAAAGCATATCAGATATTCGATGGCGAAAAAATAATTAATGTAGTTTATACAAATAATTCAGATACAGTAAGCCAGTACATTAAATGGCTCAATGAAAATACTTCAAAAGGTTTTATTGGACGAATGAAGTTTTCATCATTGATTCCATTTCTTTTTCTTAAAGTCAACTTTGATGACACTCTCTTTTGCCAAGGCACGATTGATCCTGCTGTCATAAAAATTGTTTCAAAAATTCTATCAAATGGTTACATTTTTGTCAATGAGCCAGACATAAAAAAAGGAAAAGAAAACTATGATTTTGGCTCAGACAATTTATGCGTGCTGCATTACAAGGAACTGTCAGCAGTTCCTCGAATCCAGCTATTTGATAAAGTCGTCTGTTTTGCTCCTTCATCTGAAGATGGACTTCTTTATGATTTCCCTTCTGAATGGTCAATTGACAATGCCAGTAGATTCCACAGCATCCAAAAAGAATACTTGAAAAGCTCGCTCAACAAATTGAAAGGAAGTGGTATTTGTGTTTATTCAACATATTCAATTAATCCAATTGAAAACGAAGCTGTTGTGAATGAAGTATTAAATGAAATGAATGGAGAATTTAGTATCGTTGATTGCAGCAACATGATTAATGATATAAACAGATTTCAAGGATTGACAGATTGGGAAATTGAAGGATTTGATTGTAAAACAAAAAATGCCAAAAACATTAATTTTTGTATGAGGTTTTATTCCCATTTGATTCATTCTGATTCAACTTTTGTAGCTGTGGTTAAGAGAAAAGAAACAGAATACAATAATGATGATCATAATCAAGCAGAAAATGATGAAAAAAATGATTTCATCGAGAAAAATGTTTTCAAAAAAGTTCCACAAAATATCATTGATAAAATTATTGGAGAATTTGGATTTGATAAGAGTGAATTTGAAACAATATCTTTTTTTCATTCAGATATGTTTAAAAAAACAATATTCAATGTTTCAGAAAAATTGGGGGCAGTTATTGGAAAAGAAAACAAGAATTTAAAAATTTGTCATCTCGGCTCTTCTGCATTCTTTTTCAATAAAGAAGATTTTAATTCAATCCCAGTTCCATTATATGACTGTTTTCTTCAAAAAGCTAAATTTCCTTCTAAACGATTAATTCGTATTGATTTTGTTAGTTTTGAAAAATTGGTCAAATTGTTATCAATCTCAATTGAAGAATTATCTGATCAAGATAAAAATAATTTGAAATCAATTGAAGATGGAGGAATATTCATGAAAATTGAAAATTGTAATTATATGTTTGGCACCTATTTAAATAACAATTTGGTAAAATTGGAAATGACTTCTTTAAAAGCTAGACAGATGCTTGAAAAAGTCAATGATTTAAGGCTATTTCAAGAAGTTGGAATCGGTTATTCAGACTTTTATGAAATACGCAAAAATAATTATTTTTATGTGGATAAAACAGAGTTTATAAGTGAATGGTGGGGAAAAGGTCCATTATCCACATTGATAACAAGGCCAAGGCGTTTTGGAAAATCGTTAACAATGAGCATGGTGAAATATTTCTTTTCAACTGAATATGCAAATGAAAAAGAGATCCTTTTTAAGGGAACAAAGATATGGAAGGATAAAGAAATGATGGAAATTCAAGGAACATATCCAGTCATATCAATGAACTTTGGGAAATGTAAATTTCAAGATGTAGATAATATTTTATATGCAATTAAGCAGGAAATTGCTAGTGCAATCATAACTTTCAAGAATATTCTTTTAAGTTCGAATAAACTTAATGAAGATGAAGTCAAAATCATTAAGTCCATTTCTTATGAAATGAACGATAATATTGCAGTTGAAGCAATTCATCAGATATGCTTGCTCTTTTATAGAATTTATAATAAAAAAATGATTATTCTTTTGGATGAATATGATGCACCGATGATAAAATTCTGGGAAAAGAGTGATGAAGCAGGATGGCAAAAATTAATTACTTTTTTGGGTAGCTTTTTCTGCTCAACTTTCAAAGAAAATGAATTTCTTCAACGTGCTTTAATCACTGGAATCACTCCGATATGCAAAGAGTCAATTTTTTCTGGTTTTAATAATTTGCAAGTTGTAACAACATCTTCTTACCAATATTCATCAATTTTTGGATTCACTTATCATGAAGTCTATGAAGCTCTCAAAAACTACGGGCTTGGTTTTTGGGAGGAAAAAATTATGATGCTGTATGATGGATATTGCTTTGGATCAACAACACATATTTTCAATCCTTGGTCAATCACAAAGTTTTTAAATGAGTTACAAGAACCAGATTGTTATTGGATAAACACAAGTGACAATTCTCTTATTGAAGATTTGGTTAGAAAGTGTTCACCTGCATTTTGTACATCACTTGTTAATTTACTCCAAAACCATGAATTTTGTATTTCAATCCAAGAAGAAGATATTTCATTCAATGATATATATAATATGAAATTAGAAGCAATAATCAGTCTCCTTGTTGCATCTGGATATTTATCAATTATTGGGAAAGTCACGAAAGGTCGCATATCAAATTCAATACTAACGATACCTAATTTCGAAATCCAATTAATGTTCAAGAGAATAATTTCAGCATGGTTTGACAAATCTGAATCTTTTTCAGATTTTATTATGAATTTTATTCAATGTAATATCGAATCACTTAATAAGAATTTAAATCAAATTCTTTTGGATTGCATTGGCACTTTTGATTCAGTGGAGTGTTTCTTAAATGGTCTCTGTTTGGGCATGCTTATTGAACTTAGAGATCGTTTTGATATTTTATCAAACAGACAAAGTGGAAAAGGACGATCAGGTGTCATTTTTATCCCAAAAGACATAAAAAAAGATAACAAAGGATATATAATTGAATTCAAATACCGAAGTAAACAAAATTGTGTCAAAGAAACTAAAGATGTCCTTTTAGAGTTAGCTCAGGGAGCACTACAACAAATCGATGGCAAATGTTACTATCAAGATCTAACCAAAAAAGGAGTTGAACAAAGTAATATCATTAAATATGCAATGGTCTTTTATGATCTAGAATGTTTGGTAACTATCAAAGAAATTGAATCCCGATATTATAAGAAATAACTGAAATATTTTTCATTTTATTTTGCTCTGAATTTTTTCCATAGCTAATTCTTGGCAGTATTTTTTATTATATGATTATATAAGTTAATTTAATTAACATATTTCATGAAACTCGTAAAAATAAACGTACAAATTTTCAGTAAAAATGTTTTATTAAAAATAAAAAATGTTCCCAATCTTTTGAAATACTCTATTGTGTAATATTTCCAAATTATGCTACTTTCTGATTGTATTTAATTTAGAATGGAATAAAAAAATTTTTTTTTCAATTATATTTATAATTAAATTAAAATTAGACATGAAAATGAATATAAAGCCAAATTTAAATAAATGATGGCCTTAGTAACAGCAATTTATGCTGCTGATTGTCTTCTCTTGTGGGCACGACGCCCTCTACTATCTTTTCCGAATGATGAAAACAATCAATTGAAACAACAATCAAAAAGATGATCTTCATTTAGCCAACCAGCAAATTATTATATCAGCTGATAAAACAAACAAACAAAAAGTTTTCACACAAAACCTATCAAAAAGTTAGCAGCTATTCAAATTTTGAGAGCTATTCAAATTTTTTTGCTGCAATTAAAGACTTGTATTTATTCAAAGCATCAGAGTCACCTCTATCGGCGGCCATTTTACAATACTTCTCAATTTCTTTTTCATTCAAAAAGTTGTCTCCTCCGATGTCGACTATTTTGACAATCTGTTTCAAGGCTTCCTCGTCTCCCATGTCTGCGGCCATCCTATAATAATAAACGGCCTCTTTCATACTGTATTCGACACCGCTTCCTGTGAGGTACAAGTACGCGAGCATCCTTGTTCCAAACCGGTCGCCTTTATCAACCGCTAACCGAAAATAACGTACTGCTTCATTCAAATTTCTTTCAACTCCGTCGCCGAGGTAAAGCATCGTCGCGTACTGCGAGATGGAGCTGGCGACTCCCCTATCGGCCTCTCTCTTGTACATTGAGACAGCAGCCTTCCTGTCCTTTTCAATGCCGTCGCCGTCGTACAGCATCGAACGATAGCGGCGCATCCCTCTGGCGTCTCCCATGTCCGCCGCCTTCTTGAAGTAGCGGGCTGCTTCCTGGCGGTTTTTCTCAATCCGAAAGAGTCGTGGATTGCCAACTGGATAACCGTCGTATTGAATGGTCGCATATCGTATCATCGAGTCAACGTGGCCATGATCGGCTGCAAATTTCAGATAATATGAGGCTCGTTTTTGTGAGCTTATTTGGTTGGATAAACGAAGGCCAAATTTGTAATATAAATTAACGT